TTATTTGAGATTTTCGAACAATATTTTTGTTGTAAACAAATCAAATCCAAAGAATCAAACACGTCGAACCCAAAAGGCTGAAAATCCCAACCATCCATATACCTTTTTTCTCCGATGAGTTTTTTTTGTGACCGTTTTATTTTGTGACCGTTTTATTTTGTAAAGAGTAAGCTTTTACATTCGCACTACTTCAACTGTTATAGATAATATTAAAAAAAAAAGAAACGAATTTCTTAACGGGAGTGAATGAACACCCAAATAATTATACTTCAATTAATAAGACATCCAAGCCCTCAAACGGGAACATGTCAAACTATCCATAATAACAAATGAGTGAGTCTGTACGATGTTTAAAGGACGTGCCAGAATCTATAAACGGGAGAGAGTTTGAACGAACCACGTTTAAAGGACGCATAAACTCGGAACATATCAAACCATCCACATGCCTTGTTTTCTCCATAGTGTGTTATTGCGAGCGTCTTTTTCCTGATCGCGGAAGGATGTAATGAATAATTTTTTCATGACTTGCTCTTCAGGAAGTTTCACATCGTATTGTTATCTGTCGCCTTGGCGAAACGGTTTATGTCAGTACTAAAGAGAGTTTTTATTATCGTTTATTGTTTGTGTCGCGTTAAGAATTTCAAACATCAGCCGCTTTTTATAGTAGCAGAGGGAGTGGGGTTTCAATTGCACAGCCACGTACTTAATTCATAAATTTACATGCAATGCAATGCAGCATCATAAAAACTTTTTCACTGGTCAAAATCAAAGATTGTCGCATAAGATTTCGTGATTGCTACAGAAACATTTAGGAGGATTGTGCAACTAGTGGTCACAGCCACATATTTTGCATCATCAAACGTGGGTAAAAAAGAAAGAGCACGATTCTCAACTGTGAAATGTAACGCGTAATAATATACGCGCCATAGTATTAGGAGTAGTAAGATACAATTGACAATATAGTTGTAATATTAACTTTATTTGTCACAATTTCTGATAATAGAACCATTGATAGTGCCTGGCAATAATCTGATAAACAAGTCGCATCTGACATTAATCGAACTATTTGATCAAGTTACGAAAAAGAGAAATTCTATTTATTGTCAATTATTATTCATAGAGTTCATATAATGTTAAGACCATTGATACTCACGTCTCTGTTCTTTTACTGTATTTTAATTGTTACAAATTGATTATCTAATAATGTAATTATACAAAAACGATATTAGTATTAGTGTATGAATAACAGCAGTTGCGGATATAATAGCGATAATATTCATAAATCATTACATTAGGAAATATGACGAGTTTATGTAAAGTTTTTGTACGAAACATGGACGTCTATGGTTGGGTAACTTAGATAGATATCAGGTTTGTCGGGAAGAATCTGTTAGACTTGAATGTGAGGCATCTTTGATTAGGATTGTGAAATAGTGGATTGCGATGAAGCTATTACCTCATTCGAGAAGAGATACTATATAGCGTATTAGCAAGCATAATAAGAGATTACGATTGGTTGCACTTTTTATACAAGTTCGTGTCATGTATATTATTAGTTAATATAAGTAACCGGTTACATAACGTGTGAAATATTAGTGAAGCGATAAGATTATATATTTGTTCAAAACATTTACTTGTGGTGACGTGAGGTTATGAAGCTATATTGTCATAATGTCAGTCGTCGTGTGAACAAAATATAGTTTGCGCGGAGTGTGCTTGTAAGTTGTACACATCAACATATTGCACAGTATGAGCTGTACTACTCTTAGATGAAATATTATTAGGTAGGGATTTCTTTGAGGTTTCACCCCTTTACAATTAGAAATTTGTTGATGATTACCATTTATTGGTAAATATCAGGCAAGATATTATCGTTTGTTAACAATGGAGAAAGCTTTGGTCAATGGCATAGGGTTGAAAAATTTAAATTCAAACATACAAACACAAACATCGACAGGATTTTATTATACCCAATGACTTCATCTACTTTTACTCTGTGTGATTCTTATTTCAATAATATGATGATAAAGAAATAAATAAACTATATGGAGAATGCTGATAAATACTATCTATATCATGTATACTGTATTTTTTATGGTTCTTTATAAGAAGGCAGCTGCATGGCAGTTTAGCAAGTTTTGGTGTGCTTGAAGGTATGAAAAGAAAATAAATAATGCAATATTCATTTTTGTCTTTATTCAACAAATTGATGTGATGTTTAACCAAGTTGCCACATCATTGTCATTCTCAAATAACACTTGATTAAAATATTGTCAGATCATAGTATTCTTTTTGGAAGTAATTTTTGTCAGAGTTGATTGTTTTCTGGATTTGACTGCTCTTCACTTGAGTTGTCAGGAGTAGACATAGATTCTACAGGTTTGGATGTTGTCTTCTGACGTTTTGGGGTTTGTTGAGTGTGGTCAATGAGTGATTTGTATAAGTTTGTTCTCTTCTGGGAAGCTGTGTTGTTGGAAGGTGAGGTGCAATCAATAGATTTGAATATTGGGAAAACATATATGAGGATGTGTTGGAGGATATAAATTCAAAATTGTGGAGCTTAACATATTGAATATCCAATTTTCCTATTAGTGACATGCAAGAGCCTATTTTGATTTTGGCTTTTTTCGTCCTCTGAAAGTTTTCTTCTTGATTCATGATATACTACAATGTTGAGTTTTTGAGGTCTTTATTTAGGCACACATGGGTGACCCCTAATTTACTGTGCTGATAAGACATACCTGACACCTTATGGTGCCAGCCAGTACCTATTTCCAATAAATAATAAAAACTTACAGATAAATATAAAAAATACATAGGCTTATATCATAACTCTATTTACTATACATTCTATAAACTATTTACATAATGGGTTGACTTCTATTGTTAGATGCTACAATGTTGAAGTCAGCTAGACTTATACCTGACCCACATATTGTGTGGTATGTGTGGTAAATGTAATGATATTGTTATCATTGTGCAATTGCACAGTGGTCTTGATGATGATGAGAACCCACAATCAGGCATGTGCATGTAACAACATTCAAAGAACACATACCACACACAGCATGGCATGAAAGTCTGCCTCAGAACAAAGTACTATATATAAGAATAAGTTCCGAGAAATGTGGATTTATCTAAGAGACATACCACACACAGCATGGCATGAAAGTCTGCCTCAGAACAAAGTACTATAATCTAAGAAAATTTGATATGATAAGTGAGCGAGCTAGATAGCTTAATAATATGTAACAAGAAAAATTTGTAATGATGCACTTACAGTACAGTAAGTTCATTATCATTTAGTGACACTATATGCAATCTCACGAGAGCACTTGTTCTCTTGTATGTTTTCGGGCTTTGTTTATGCCAGCTATTTTGATGTCAGAAGCAAACCTCGTTGTTGCATGCCAGTCTGGGTTGTTTTTTGGCACGTAGGTATCGAACAGAGTGCGTATAGATTCGGAAGCGAAATTAAGGAAGATGCCCCCAGCTTTAAAGAGTGTGTAATCAGGTCTGTTTTTAACGAGGTTGTTATGCGAACAAGATTGTGAAAAATCCCCCAGACAAAAGAAGTCCAGCACTGCGGTTGAGTTAAAGTGAACGAACATAGTAATATTGTAGGAAGATATGGAATCTTATTAATAGGGAAAAAGTTGTTGGAAACAAAGGCAGGCATTGGGAAAATGCGTGCAAGTGCATGCGGCTGATGTTTTGTGTGACAATTATTTGGCTGCGGTGTGACAATATAAGACTGTTACCACAATTGTGTGCCAGAAGTGAGTGATCACCACCACTAACTAGTAAAACATACGGAATGTCTTTCTTTTCAAAAATCTCTTCTACCCATGTGTACTATGCGAAGGATAATTTTTTTGCATAGTTTGAAAGCTAAATTTTATAAATTATTTTTATAAAGCGGTAGCAAGTTGAAGTAAGCTGTCTTTAAATCACGATATGAGAATCTATAATTATATATGTATAGAACGTATACTCACACTTTGTCAAGCTACTGATTTATAATGATATCACTGGTCAAAGTCTGAAAAATCAGCATAAATTAAGCTTCAATTCAGTGTCTGATTTGGTTCTGATTTGTCTGCATCAGCTTTATTTCGGCTGTCACTCAACCACAATTCAGAAGTTTTCTGATTAGGTATGGAATGGCGCCAATCGCTGCCACTAGCCCATAAATCAGAAAGCTGATTTGTATATGAGTGTCAGCTCATTTAAATGGAATTTATGAGATAAATCAAGGATGAATTCAGTCTTAATTTATGGAGAATTGCCAGTGAATAATGGCCTAATTTCTGATAATTTAAATAAACTTTGACATAATTCTGGTATAATTTACAACGTTTCACCTTAATGGCAGCAGAGTTAATTCTATGGACAGTAATTTCTGGCAGGATTTATTATAATTTCAATTGCATTAAACTTAAAAACTAACTTCATTTAGTAAAATTTGACTTTTAATTTCTAGTGGGATTGACATGTCGTTGTTCAGCTGCCTTTTTATACGTAAGCCACCAATAAACACATAATCATTTAACACTAAAATTAAAAAAAAAACTTAACCTTCAAATATCTCACCACACACAGCGTTCCATCGTATACGCTAGCTATTTGGGAAATCGTAAACGCATGACACACAATTCGAAGCGAAAGCCCACTTTTCACATTGTCCATTGATCAATCGCATTTACCCAAAATAACCAACAAATCGTTTATGCTTATAGTAAACCTATCGATCTGTCAACGAAAGGCACCAATAAGAAAAGTATGAAATAAAGAGTCAAACTATTAACAACACAAATAATATCTCAAATTTAATTAAACGGACAAGTGCTATATATATCTTCTGACAGAATATATAGAACCCCACCTGAATGATCAAATTCACGTTCTGTAAATTTCACATTCCAAAATGCTTATCTCAACAAAAATCTCTTCTTATTATTACTTTTCCTTCCAGTTTACTTCTTTTTAATAAAAGCATCATGTCTTTGGAAATTCGGCCAATCGGAGAAGTCATCAGTTATCAAGCTACATCGCGGACTGAATTTGTAGTTGGAATGGGAGTCGTTAAATCAAAAACAAGTAAAAACGAAAGTATTACATTCACTATCATCCAATTTATCCCAGTCGATGCCGAAGATACATGTTATGTCACTTCGTTGGTTCCTAAAAATGTTGTCTATTTTTACGGGACTGTCACAAGGTGGATTCGTCAGCACTCCCACTCTAGAAAAATTTCTCTGGATCCAATAAATCGTACAAAAGTTTATAATGTCGGCTCTCGAGTAAAGGTCGAAGGCGCTGCGGAACTGCATAACAATATTATATATTGTGAATTGCAACATGTGACGTTTGTTATTCTGAAAAATACTGCCCCAACGACACCAACACTGCAGTCTCTCCTCCGCGGGCCACTATTGTCCGAAGCATTGTAGAACAGCTAAAAAAACCAAAACTCGTCAATTCTTCCACCACCTCTTAAGTCGGAAACCGAGTCAAGCGGCTCCATGCAAATTGAGAACATCAATCCCAATGAAGACGTATCGAACGGCACTCAGCCTGCATGACTAAATCCAGGCAAACAACCCTACGAGATTTTGCCTCTCGGAAGTTAACTAGTAAAAAATAATTACTTGCCGATCGAAGATTTTTTTCAATGTATTAATTATTGCTTAAACATTTGCTATATGCTATACATTTTAACAATGGCTTTATACAGATAAGATATTCTCCTGTTACTTTTTCTTTAATAAATTCATATTTTCTTACCACAATCGAACGTATAATGAGCTTAAATCATGATGACTCCGTTAATGTACACAGTGAAAGTCGATATAACGGATTCCTCGGGACAGTGCACAAATCCGTTATATGGTGACACTCCGTTATAATTCCGTTACATTGAATAATGTCTCGTTAAGCTCCGTTTATCAAAAAAAAAAAAAAAAAACCGTACTAAGCGAAATCCGTTATATCAACGAACCGTTATATCGACTTTCACTGTATATATCACTTTAAAAAGTTGGCTCACGAACTGTTCGATATAGTAGATCTATAACTTTGTATATCCATTACTTTACTATGATGATGGTAATATCTTTTTACATTCTGTTACAAAAGCACTATTATGCGCGCCAATATTACTAAAGTATCATGTATATGATACATGTCAGTTTAAAATAGACGTTTGATCACAAACTATTTCATTTTGCAGAACATTGAACATAATACGGTATAGTCTATATATACTTCATGCATACCAAATATTCCTAACAACGCGACTTTTCCCCTTATATACTAGTGGCTCACTTGCCTCCTTAATATCACGTTTATTAATTCGTACACAAACATGACTGCACAATCTTTGAGTCTTCGAATATCAATGAAAGTGTGAACTATCGAACATATAACGCTTTGTTAGATAACGAAGACAGTCCGGTGTGTAGACTATTATGTAATTCAAACAGCTAGTCTCTGCAGATTTGTACCCACTCTACGAACTAGTACTGTAGCTAAGAGACACTTTTATCACATATTGTCATCTGATAACTATTGATGGCTATTTCTTGTACATATGCTGCATAATCAATACCAATTTCTGTTGAGCTTTTAGTCAAATTTGCTACATTATTACTCAGGGAAACTATGCTGAATTACTATTAAACATTGTCTTAGTACTGACAATACGATTTGCCATTTCAATGCCTCTCAGCCAATACAGTCATATACATATCCAAAAGAGAAACTTTATATCAGTTAACTAAAATACCGTTATGGCATTAAACATACGAGTAGTATAAAGCCGTACATTTGACAAAACTTATTCAAAGCTATAACAAGTTTGCTGGACGCTGTATGGAGTACGTACTGTCATTTGGTTGAGATAATTACTTATTAATATATTTAAGATTTAGTAAAGGCTCTGTGTAGCTTGCGTAGCAGGTCTCTTACTAATCTAGTTATTGGATAAAATTCCTTTACACTATGGTTAGATATAATCGTACTTGCAGCTAACCGTACGGTGAAATTATTGGTACAAGTTTTGACATTACAGTTAGACTGCAATATATAATTATTATCTTTACTGTTAGAATGTAAATACAGTCTATTTGTACGATGATTTTGCAGTACAGTTAGATTATATATTGAAATTTGTCTAACTAACTAGTCATGCATGAATGGGGGTGTCTGTACGATGCTTAAGGACGTGCGAGGGGGGCCCCAAACGGAACATGCCAGATTATTAATAAATGGGTGTGAGTTTAAACGAACCACTTTAAAGGTGTGCGGGGTTAAAATTCGGAGCCGTTAACTCCACCGAATACGCAAAGTGTACGAACGAAACTCGAACACATTAACTACATTTAATGAATAAACACGCCCCAAACAGAACATGTCAATCCATCCACGTGCATTATCGTTTATTGTTTGTGCATTAGCCACATTTTATAATAGTAGATGGGAGAAGGTTCTCGCAAATTTGCACAGCCACATACTGATTGTTTGCTAAAATAGGGCAGTTTACATGTGATACTTCCAGTTAATAAAGTGTAGTAGAAATGTGCAATATAATCTTTGAGGGTACAAAGAGCTAGCGGCCTATTGATTACCATTGAATAAATAAAACGAATATCAAGTTGTAAGAAGACCATTTTGTAGATTTTTAACATCACTTTACAACAACAAATTGTATATATACCCCTCTTTACAGTCGCTGGTTTCAGAAAAACTGATAGTGTGACTGTAGAGAGGGACAACCGTATATTTAAGCAAGCAAAATGTTATAGTAAGAACATCTGTTACAATAATAGTAGTCATTATTATAAATATAATAACTTATTCTATCACTATATACAGGGAGAATTACCATC